GTGGGGGGAGCGCCGGCTGCGGCGGCCCGGGGGCCCTTCCTCGGCGCGGGGGCCGCGAGAAGCGCGTGACCGCCGCGGGCCGGCGCCCGCATTGTCCAAGCTCCATAGCAACTCGGGCGAGGCGCTCCCGGGAGTGTGCGGCGCGGGGCCCGCGCGCGGACGCGGGGGCGGCGGCATGCCGGAGCAGCGGCTCTCCGCCGGTAGGTGGGGCGGGACGGAAGATGTGGCCCGGCGTCCCGGCCCGACCGCGCTCCCGCCTCCGGTCTTACTCTCCCTGCCCTGGGGGCCCCGCTTCCAAACCTTCGAAAGACTTGCCCCTCTGCTCTCGCAGTGCATTTAATTACCAGTTTTACCTGCACAGGCCATCGTCACCTCTCCCCCTGCCCCTCCCCCTGCCATGGACATTGCCTCATTGGCGCTGTCTTATTTTAACTTGCTTAATTCTCCGTGTTGCATGGAGTGATGGAGGCCTCCATCTATGAAGGTTAACTCCTCGGTCACAGTGAATTACGGACCAAGCTGGATTCCAGAGGCCCTTCCTCCCCACTTCCACCTTGAATTCCAACTTAAAATTCATTCCATGTGCAGAGAATGAACAGAGGGCCAAAATTCTACTGAGCTTGCCCAATGTATAAAGCAGGGCTAGGAGCTGTCTCAAATTAATTTACTCAAAAAGGAAATCAGATTTGAGTGAGATAATGCAATATTTTATCTTGTTTCAGAGCCACCAACTATTACAGAAGCAGAATTTGTAAGTACAATTTAGAAGGCTACTATGTTTTCCTGTTGCGTTTTTAAAATAGCAAATCATAGATGTACAAAAAAGCTATGTATTTTCTCCTTTTTTGCCAAGCGAGTATATTAGAAGCTTTGCCTTGGTAACAATGGTGCTGAGTACAAGACCTTTTACAACCTTTAACAGGTATATTTTTAAAGAAGGGGCTTTTATGGTGAATGCTATTCACTATTAAAGTTCTTTTACATAAATGCCCTCACTTAATTTCTCTCAACTCTTTAATGATTCCATGAGAGGCAGGTTTTATCTCCATGGTTTCATTGTGATGTGGCTGTGCAGTTCCTGGTTGCAGTAAACGTTAGCGGGTGAAATTGATTGATAATAAGTGGTCAATTCTTTTAAAATGTAGAAGATGTTGTTTTCAGGTCAGACTTCTGGAGAGTTGAGTAAATAATAAGTACTTTGCCAAGTACATTATATACATTGTCATTTAGGCGAGTGCTATATATAGGGTGGGTTTTATTATAAGTCCTATTGTGTTAAGGAATTTGCTCAAGGTTAAACAGCTAGATAGGAGGTAGCAATGCCTAATTACTACTACCTTCTGAGTTTGATTTCAAGAGCTCTAACTACTTCCCTATGTTTCTTATGTCCTCTAGCACTTGTTTCTCTTGTTGACCAAATATCTTATTTGCTTTTGGCATTTTATTTAGCGAACATGAGTGCCTTTTATATTCACAGTGCAGTGCTAGATGCTGAGGATAAGTCTCCAAAAGTTCACTGTCTAGCTGGGGCTCTGAGGAGAGGGCTAAGGTGGTATCTGCTAGCACCTTCCACTTTCACCCTTCCCGAACTTTGGTCCACCATTGAGAGGGAGAGACCAGGATAGCGGCATATCAGCATATCAGCAACTCCTTCCATCTTCGTTTTGCCTTGCTATAACTGTGTAGTGGCAAATTTCTTTAAGCTCTTTCCTGAATTGTTCTTCATTCCAGCAGGAGGTCAGCACTTCTGAGCCAGCTAATCTTTCCCATAGAACTCCAGCATAAAGTCTCTGAAGAGCACTAGCAACATTTACACTTAACATTTGAGCAGTTTACTAACCTCTTCAGGTCTTTGCAGCTGTCTGGGAACTCATAACAGTTTGAAGCCTCTTTAGCCACTCCCCTTTCTCTTGGTTCCTTTGATACCAGTATCCCCCAGCTCTCCCATCTCTCATTTTTATGTCTCCCTTTCCGGGCTTCTCTTTTTCTTTGCCCATGAAATTGAACTTCTTCAGGATTCTGTTCTATAGGCTTTCTCTAGGGGAGCTCCTCTTCTCCTATAGTTTAAGCTACCCTCATTTCACATGGTTTCCAAATCTACACACCTCCAGTCTGGACACCACTTCTATATCAGAACTCTGTATCCCCTGGGTACCTTCCTCATATGGATGCCCCTGCATCACCTTAACAGTCTAAGCTGAACTTATCTCTTCCCGTTCTGTTTTTCTTCCTCTTTTTCATGTTTTGGTCAATAATGCCACCCAATCCAGAAACTTTCTTTCCTTTTCTGCACCTCCTGCCTGCAAGGTCCTTTCATTGCCAGATCTTTTCTCTATCCTTGCAGCTACTGTCTTATTTCAGGTCCTCATCCCTGGGCCTGGACTTTGGCAGTAGTCCTGATATCATGCCTCCAAAATTTCCTCTGCCAACTCCAATTTTTCTTTGTCTAAAGTATAAACCCCTGTGCATCAGCTATGCCGGATGAGATTGCTTTGCTCTGTCTGCCTTTAGATTTTCTTCGTGCATCAATCCAGCTTTCAGATTGCTGTTAACTTTAAAAAAAAATTACTATGTTACTCAATTGCTCAGGTATTTTATTAATCTTACTATTTATTGAATGCTGACTAGATGCTAGTATTTAAGCTCAAAACAACTCTGTTAGGTGGTTATTATCACCCACATTTCAAGTAGGTGTCACAGAGATTAACTAACTTGACCAGAGGCCATACATCTAGTAATGGGCAGAACCAGAATGTCACATGCCTCTCTTTGGTATTTAAGCTTTTCTATAACTTTCCAGCCTTTTTTATTTAACCTTACCTTCCAATACTTTCTATGTGATAAAGACAACGTTCATACTGTTTTTGGTTTATAAAGTACTTCCACATGCATTCTGCTTGAGCCAAATTGCCCTGTTTGCCTCCTTGCCTTTGCTGTCAAGTTTGTCTCAGTTGCCCTCCTCCATTTATTTCACAATCTTGCACATTCTTTAAGGCCCAGCTCATCTCCTCTATGAAACCTTTCCAACCTAAAATCATCCAGATTGCCTTTGAGCTCTGTGCAGCTTTCAGTTGAGATCAGTTTGTGACCAGATCCTCAAATTCATTGTCACCAAGAATTATCTGTATATTAAATAATTCACATCTATTTCCCTCTGTTTTTCAAACGTTTAAAAGTATTTTTTCTCTAATATTCTTAGAAAAAAAGTGTGTGGCAGAGATCTCTGGTTCCCCCAAATCCAGTCTACCCTTTCCATAATAACATACAAGACATATTGCTCTTCAGAATCAAGACTACATTTTCTAGCCTCCCTTGCAGCTAAATGTGGTCATGTAACCAAATTCAGACCAATGGAATGTAAGCAGGAGTGTCATCATGTTCTACTTCTGGAAAGCTAATGTTTACAGTGATTAAATAACTGACCCTTATGTCACATAGCTAGTAACTGGTCAAGCCATAATTAGAACCTCAGTCGTTCTGACTCTTAACATTTATAAAAGTGTACATGGAGAGAGTATCCCCTTGTTTTGCTTTCCTGCTGGTTGGAGTGAGGATGTGATGCTGGAGCTAAAGCAGCAGTCATCTTGGATCATGAGGTGGAAGTGGCATCTTGAGGATGGTGGAATTACAAGATCAAAGGGGCTCCCGATATTTGGGAAACCGCAGTGTCAGTCCTGAACTGCTTATGGTTTCACAAGAGAAAGAAAGTACCATTTTATTTAAATAGTGTTATTTTGGTTTCCCATCATTGGCAGCATTCATATACTGATATAAAATTCCTATATTCATAGGAATTTTTTTTTCATTGTATTTTCTCAATCAATGAATCTAAAAAGTACAATCCTGCTGCATCCAGCGCGGCTAGTCGAACGGGCCGGAGTGGAGGCAACGGAGGATTAAGAAAGACAGACGAAGAAATACTTGAAAATGGGGGCTAGGTGGACAGCTGTCTCCTGACGGGAGAACAGTGACCCAGTCTAGCAGCCGTGCTTTACTTATATAGTCTTGCTTATGCAGGGGCAGGAAAGGGGAGGAGATAGCCTTGGGGAGGGAACTTTCCGTGCGTCAGCTGCAGATTGTTAGCAACCAATGCATCGGACTCAAGATGTTTAGTACCCAATGTACCACCTGCGGGTGCTGGAAACCTCCTCCGTATGCTGAGGTGCTGCGCCAGCCTTGCTAAGGACGCAGCCAGAGAGTGTGCCTTGCACCAGCCTCTCCTTTACAGCTCTGGATGGGTCTCTTGGTCCCCGGCACAATCCTATTGTAGACACCTGCATTTTAACCATTACATGGAATCTTCATTCTCAAAGAAGAGAATAACTCATTTAGAATAAGTCATTGTTGTCAGGGACACATTTCCTTGTATATATTTCAACTTTTTATGTATAAATTTTGCAATTTCTTGACAAAATTGTGAATTCCCATAGGGCTGGTACTATGTCTCAGTACATCTTAATATTTTCTATAATGTGTAGCACAATGCCCAGAATATGCATTAGATGATTAATGAATTTTGGTTGATGGATATTTTAATATATAATAATTAGTATCATTTGTTTCACTTTTATATTTTGCAACGTTTCATTTGATATATGTTCTGTATTTCTTAAGTACCTATCTCCTGACATTTTTCTACTTTAGTGTCTTTATCACTTTGTATTTGATTGGTTTTTGATAGTTCTCTTAGGGAAAATATATACAAAAACTTAATATATTCAGTTCTCTTATTAGTTTCTTTGGGGGTATATAATTATATAAGCAACATATGAATACATTTTTGTAAATAATTCAAATAATAAAAGTTATAAAGTGAATGCTTCTCTTCATTACTTACCTCAATCACAGCCTCTTTCATTTTCATATTCCATAAAAATTGAAATATAAATCTATCACAGCAAGAATAGTAGAGTTCAGACTCCTTAATGTAGTGTGCCACGACAGCACAACTGAAGACACTCACAAAAGAGGACTTCCATAACTGCTTCAGAAAGTGGCAAGAATGATGGGATACGTGTGTTCAAAGACGGGGAGTATTTTGAGGGGGATTAATGGCAATGTATCTTGTTTTTTTTGGTTTTTTTTTTTAGCTGAGCCATGCTGCCACCTGTTGGCAGCTCAGCAGCAGCTCAGCTCGGGCTGTGAATCGACCACTGTTGCTCAGAGCTCACACTCTTGAGTGACCTCTTAACCAACTGAGCCACTTGGCCGGCCCAATGTGTCTTTTACTGTAATAGAATTTTTAAATTTAAACATTCACCATATTTTTTTATACCTCATAAATACCCCAGAATTTTATCATGAAAAAATTAAAAATATAAGAAAGTTAAGAGAATAGTATAGTGAACACCTATAAGCCCAGCACTAAATTTTACAATTAACCTTTTGCTGCATTTCCTTGTTCATGTTTCTGTCCCTCTGTCAATCACGCCAACCATCCAATCTATTTTATTTTTTGTTTCAAAGTAAGCTGCACACATTGATATGCACATCACCCCTAAACATTTCCGCATAAATATTATAAACTAGCATTTAAAATTAGCTTATGGTTCTTTGTTGATGTGAAATTTATGCAATGAAATGGAAAAAAATTTAAGACTACCATTTGATGAATTTTGACAAATAACACCAGTGTACCTAAACTTCCATCAGTATATAGAACATTTGCTTAATTTTAGAAAGTTCCTTCAACTCGTCCCAATTGATTCTTACCCCATTTCCCAAAGACAGCTACTTTCTTATTTTTCACCATAGATTAGTAACACAGATTATAGATTTTGCTTCATATAAATGGAATCATACACTTGGTTTTCTTTTGTGTAAGATTTCTTTTGCTCAGGATAATATTTTTGAGATTCATCTATGTTGTTGCATGATTCTGGTATGTATATAACTTTTTTTAAGATTTTTTTGGGAAATTGAGGGAGGGGAACAGCGCTGGGGGCTTGGGGGAAGGGGAACAGACAAGTTGCTGTCCTTTTGTTCTTCAGTCTAGTTGTGGAGAATGTTGCTTCACTGCCCATGTTGGTATTATCATTGCGCTCTTTCCGGGTGAGGCAGATCGGTCGCCGGCCTCTGGACGGCTGCTCATGGTGGCTCTTGACAGCTCACACCGGCTGCCAGCCACTCATGCTGGCTGCTGGCCACTCATGGTAGCTTATGGCAGCCCACTGCAGCAGGGGCTGCAGCCTGTGCCGTTGCCAGCGACTCACGGCAGCCCAGCTCCAGGTTGAGCTGTTGTTCACCATCTTAGCTGTAGAGGGTAGTGTCACTGGCCCTCATGTGGGATCCGAACCAGGACTCTGCTGCTCAGAGCTGGCGTCCCAAGCCAGCTCTTAACCAACGTGTCACTCGGCTGGTCCCTGTACATAACTTTTTTTATTGTAGTAAAATATACCTAAAATTAAGTCTACACTTTTAACCATTTTAAAATGTACAATGCAGTGGCATCAGGCATACTCACATTGTTCTGCAACCATCACCATTATCCTTCTCCAGAACTTTTTCATTATTCCAAGCTGAAACCCCCAGCCTCTGGTAACCATTATTCTACTTTCTGTCTTTATGGATTTAACTATCCTAGGTATCTCATTTAAGTGGAATCTTGCAATATTTGTCCTTTTGTGTCAGACTTATTACATTTAGCATAACATTTTCAAGGATCGCCCATATTGTTATGTGTAACAGAATTTCATTCCTTTTTAAGACAGAATAATATTCCATTGCATGTATGTACCATATTTTGATTATACTTCATATGTCAAAGGACAGTTGGATTGTTTCTATCTTTTGGCTTTTGTGAATAATGCTTCTATGAACAAGATGTGCAAATATCTGTTTGAGTCCCTATTTTTAGTTCTTTTGGGTATGTACTCAGAAATAGAATTGCTGAATCATGTGGTAATTATTTATTTATTTATTTATTTATTTATTTTTTATTGGGGAATTGGGGGGATGGGAACAGTGCTGAGGAATTGGGGAAAGGGGAACAGACAAGTTGCTGTCGTTTTGTTCTTCAATCTAGTTGTGGAGGATGTTGCTTCACTGGCCCAAGTTGGCACCATCATTGCGCTCTTCTCTGACGAGGCAGATCAGTCGCCGGCTTCTGGACGGCCGCTCACTGCGGCTGCTGGCCACTCACGCTGGCTGCTGGCTACAGACGGTAGCCCATGGCAACCCACTGCCACAGGGACTGCAGCCCACGCCGTCGCCGGCGACTCATGGCAGCCCAGCTCCAGGTTGAGCTGTTGTTCAGCATCTTAGCTGTGGAGGGCAGTGTCACTGGCCCTCATATGTGGGATCCGAACCGGGGCCCTCTGGCATCCCAAGCGAGTTCTTAACCATCGCGCCACTCGGCCGGCCCTATATATTTATTTTTTTTTTAAAAAGAGTTTATTGGGGAATTGGGAAATGGAACAGTGTTGGGCAATTGGGGAAAGGGAACATTGTGTTTTTCCAGGATCCATCCATCATCTCCAAGTCAAGTTGTTGTCCTTCAATCTTAGTTGTGGAGGGTGCAAACTCAGCTCCAAGTCCAGTTGCCACTTTCAATCTAGTTGCAGGAGTGAAGGGGGTGGAGCCCGCCATCCCATGTGGGAGTCAAACCGGCAACCTTGTTGTTAAGAGCACACACTCTCATGAGCTGAGCCATCCGGCTGCCCATTGGCAGCTCAGTGGCAGCTCAGCTCAGGTGCAGCTCACTGGCCCCTGTGGGAATTGAACTGGTGACCCTGTTGCTCAGAGCTTGAGCTCTTAACCAACTGCACCACCCGGTTGGCCCATATTTAATATTTTGAGGATCTGTGTTCCACACTGGTTACACCATTTTACATTCCTACTAGCAATGTACAAGGTGTCCGATTTCTCCACGTGCTTACCAGCACTTGCTATTTGCCATTCTAGTAGGTGTGAAGTAATAACCCATTGTGGTTTTGATTTGCATTTTTCTTGTTGCTAGTGATGCTGCTTATTGATTATTTGTATATCTTTTTTGAAGAAAGTGTCCTTAAAGAAGAAGTGATATATATACATAATGGAATACTGCTCTGCCATAAGAAAAGATAAAATACTGCCATTTGCGACAACATAGATGGAACTTGAGATTATTATGCTAAGCTAAATAAGTCAGACAGAAAAAGTTGAGAACCTTATGACTTCACTCATATGTGGGATATAAAACTGAAAGCAACAAAGGAACAAGACAGACAAAGAAACAAAAACTCATAGACAACAGTTTAGTGGTTACCAGAGAGTAAGGGGGTGGGGAAATGCTAGAAGAGGGTAAAGGGGGTCAAATATATGGTGATAGAAGGAGAAAGACTGGGTGGTGAGCACATAAGTGATATATAGATGATGTATTATAGAAACACACACTTGAAATGTAATTTTACTAATCATTGTCACCCCAATAAATTTAATTAAAAAAAAGAGAAATGTCTATTTAAGTCCTTTGCCCATTTAAAGACTTTCTAGGGGCTGACCTAGTGGCACGTTGGTTAAGACCTGGTTTGGGATGCCAGCTCTGAGCAGCAGGGCCCCGGTTCGGATCCCACATGAGGGCCAGTGACACTGCCCTCTACAGCTAAGATGGTGAACAGCAGCGCAACCTGGAGTTGGGCTGCCGTGAGTCACTGGTGATGGCGTAGGGCTACAGCCCCTGCTGCAGTGGGCTGCCGTAAGCTACTGTGAGTGGCCGGTAGCCAGCGCAAGTGGCCGGCAGCCGGTGTGAGCTGCCAAGAGCAGCCATGAGCGGCTGTCCAGAGGCCGGTGACCAATCTGTCTCACCTGGGAAGAACGCAATAATACCAACATGGGCCAGTGGAGCGACATCCTCCATAACTAGACTGAAGAACAAAAGGACAGCAACTTGTCTGTTCCCCTTCCCCTGATTCCCCAGTGCTGTTCCCCTCCCTCAATTCCCCAATAAAATCGTTAAAAAAAAACAACTAATTTTTTTTTTCTGAGTTCTTGGAGTCTTTATATATTCTGGATGTTAACCCTTATAAGTGATTTGCAAATTTTTTCTCACACCCTGTAGGTTGTCTTTTCACTTTTTTTTTTCAAAGATTTTATTGGGGAATTGGGGGAAGGGAACAGCGTTGGGGACTCAGGGAAGGGGAACAGACAAGTTGCTGTCCTTTTGTTCTTCAGTCTAGTTGTGGAGAACGTTGCTTCACTGGCCCATGTTGGTATTGTGATCATTGCGCTAGTAAGTTTTGGAATCAAGTTATGTGAGTTTTTCAACTTTGTTCTTTTTCAAGATTGTTTTGGCTATTCAAGGTCCCTTGAGACTCCATATGAATTTTAGGCTGTTTTTTTTTCTATTTCTGCAAAAAATATAATGTCATTGGAATTTTGATGCAGATTGTATTAAATCTGTAAATTGCTTTGGATGGTGTTGTCGTCTTAACAATATTGTTTTTCAGTCCATGAAGATGGTATATCTATTTACTGATGTCTTCTCTAATTTCTTTCAGCAATGTTCTATAGTTTTCAGTATACAAGTCTTTGCCTATTTGGTTAAGTAATTCTTTTTTATTCTATTGTAAATGAAGTTATTTTCTTAATTTCCTTTTTGGATGCACATAACTTTTTTTAGTAAGAAATTAAAAACTGATGTTTATTATTGTTGATAATTTATTATTTTATTTTTTATTCCATGAACACGTTCTAAATGAAATGAAAAACTCTCCTAGTCTTGTAGTTATCTGTATGCTTGGCTCTTCTATCTCTACAGATACTGTAAGTTCACAGGAAAAGAAGTGTAAGATCTATCGGATGGTCCCTGGAAAGTCATTGCTGTTTGCTTTTATGTGCTGCTGTAATAGAAGGAAACTAAACCATTCATGAGACAAGGACTTTTATTATTATTGGTAATATTTTAAATCTACACATGGTTGTTGTGATTTCTGCAGTTACATTCTTAGAGCATACATAAATATATAACTTTTAGATATCAGATTTTATGCTTGAAGTGACTATATGCAATTCCTAATCAAGATATTTTTTAATGGCTGTCTTTAAAAATCCTTGAATAGTCTCTGCTGGTAAGAAACTGTATCACTCAATAGGTATTAACATTTTTTAGACTATTTTTTATAACCACTTAACCTCCTAGGATTTAAAATTAAAATTTAACACTTTTTTAAAAATAACAAATGTGATGTTAAAATTAGGATAAGCAAATAGATTTAGAAATCAATAAAATATTTCATATGAAATATTTCAAGATATTGGTGAAACTCTTATTGCAGTATACACATACATTTTTCTATCAATGACCTTGTAACTTAGCTTGGATACTACGACAAAGATCCATCAGTTGCCAGCAGAAAGAAGTATCTGCTACATATGAAGGCAGATTTGGGGCCATCATCTGTAGACTTCTAGGATCTCCCATCCCCCTTTCCTCCAAGCTGTCAGCACCTTCAGTTGTGCCCTGTCTTCTTGGACATCTCTAATGGAAACTACTCCAGCACTTTTATGGGGCAGTGGTATGCCTTGTAGCTAGCCAATAAACCCACATGCAAAGGCTTGAGCAACTCCCTGGCTATGCTCAGTGTCTACAAAAGAGCAGTGGGTGTGGGATGTGGCTCATAAATCTCTGTGTCTGGGGGAGGGTTTTGGATCTGGGGAGTCCCAAACAAGATTGCTCACAACCAGAGATCACTATCCTGGGGGCTCCAGCCATCTGTGCTGTGCCTCGTTGTCTTGATGGCTGATGAAATTCACTTTCACTTGACCCATTGAATTCCATTGTCTGCACACCTCTATGTGTCATTGTACACCTGGTGGGAAGCTCTGATCTATTGATTGGCTTGTTTTAGAAAGGAGAAAAGAAAGAATTTTTATGTATTTTAGGAAGAGGAAGCAAAAATCAATATAATATTGGAAATTTGGTCTATTCTATCCCCTGATCGATGATAGCATTCCCAATCTAAAGTGTGACAGTTTAGGATACCACATTGGAAATTAGATGAATGGCTTTGGTTTAATGTGTGAATGGATTGAAAGGAAGTTGGAAACTTGGATTGTTTTTCTACTTCTGCCGTTAGATAACTGTAACCACCTTTACTGTGCTTTGCTTTCATAGAGTTTGAAGTTATTTAAAATGCATTTCAAATGCCATTTTCCCATTTGAGTGTCTTCTGATTCCTCCTACCAGATAATATCTTTTTCTTTTTTGGGAGAAAATGGTTTATATTGTAATTTTCTTATGGCACCTATTATATTTTTTCTTGAACTATGACTTTTGTCTGTATTTATCTTATTTCCTCTTCCTTGTTTATGAGGTCTTTTTTGCATATCCTCTTTAACAGTTGTGAAGTAATTGTAGTTTATCTGATTTGATGGTGCAGTAAAATAATTTTTTAAGCAAAACAATTTTTACCTACCATAATTAGCAAATACCTATAAACTATTTTGCTTAACCCTCTTTCAGGAATAAATTTGAGAAGTTTGGACTAAAAACGGAAAAGCTGACTTCACTTTCACAGATGGCACACCTGTAAAACATGAAAAAACAGGTTTAAAGAAAGTATTCAACTCTGAAAAAATGTTTCTACCTTCCATTGCATCATTCAGCAGAGAATCTGGGTTGCAAATTTTGTAGTCAGGTTCATGGAATGATGTAATGGAGGAATTGATTGTAACTCAATTTTTTTCTTGATTGTACCATTAACCATCACCAGTTTATTGGTTATTTCGAAGATCTTAAACCCAAACATGGAGACTTAGTTCATTTTAATACAACCGTGTGACTGGATTGTGGAAACTTGTTGAGAGTTACTGAGCTGCTTCTTCAGATCATGGGCTTTAAAATTTTTACTTTTCAATTGAAGAGTTTTGCAACTAAAGAGTTCATTGGATCCTCATTGCTTCACAAGACTTTGTTAGTGATGTGACATGATATCTGAACAGATTGAACTAGGGAGAAATGTCAATGGGAAAATATGTTCATTTTTTAGAGAAATGAAGGCCATTAAAATGTGATGAGAGGATTGAGCAGATGGCACTTGCAGACTACACTTATTTCCACTGTGGACCTTTACTGATACAAGTGGAAGTGCTAATGTTGAATATTAGTAGAAATTAAGATACAGTTTCAGAAAACAAATACAGATTTTGGTGTATTTGAATAATACTTTTAAGTTTCCATGGTTGTAAGTGCAAACCTGAGGATGTGAATGAATGCCAAGGAAATGCTCAATGAGTGTGGTTTGGTTTTAGGAGGACCTGCGGAAGCTGAAAGCAAATTGCTCTCCAAGGAGTTAGGGCAGTGCTTCTTTTTTTAAAAGATTTTATTGGGGAATTGGGGGAGGGGAACAGTGTTGGGGAATTGGGGAAGGGGAACAGACAAGTTGCTGTCCTTTTTATTCTTCAGTCTAGTTGTGGAGGACATCGCTTCACTGGCATGTTGGTATTATCATTGCTCTCTTCCCGGGTGAGGCAGATTGGTCGCCGTATATTAGACAGCCACTAACAGTGGCTCTTGGCAGCTCAGGTTGGCTGCCAGCTGCTCACAGTAGCTTATGGGAGCCTGCTGCAGCTCCACTGCAGCCTACGCCGTCGCCGGCAACTCATGGCAGCCCAGCTCCAGGTTGAGCTGTTGCTCACCATCTTAGCTGTAGAGGGCACAGCGTCATTGACCCTCATGTGGGATTAGAACCAAGGCCCTGCTGCTCAGAGCTGGTGTCCCAAGCCAACTCTTAACCAACGCGCCACTCGCCGGCCCAAGGGCAGTTCTTGATTAGGGCCTGTGGACTGGTGCCACCAGGAGCTCTTATCAGTCCATATTGAGTTGAGTTCAGAAATCAAGAGGAAACATTTAAAAACTTCATGGTAATTTGACATAGTATGTTTACATCTATTGAATTTAATAATAAAAAATTGGGCTTGTATTATGTATATGTTTTATTTCATTTTCTAGTAATTCATTCTTATTGTATTTTACAAAAGTTATCTGAAATGGATTAGGGACAAAACAGGTGCTTCATCACAGGTAGTTTGGAACACGTTGAGTTAGAGTCTTTTAGAAGTGTGAGGCATCTGGAAATGAATATATGAATTTGAGAATTATCTAGAAATTTCTGGCAATGTGGCTTACCAAATTCTAGGCAATATTTAGGTCTACCTTACTCTCTGAAATATATGTTCTGTTTTATAGCTTAAAATTAAAAATAAAATGCCTACTGTAGCAAAACTAACAAGGGACTGTACTCCACTACTGTTACTCATTTAAAATACCCTTCCCATCTTTGGACTTTTGGTCATGAGCCCAGTAGTGCAAAATTTGGCCACCTTTTTTGTAGTGCAATGCCTTCTACTGCAAAGATCGTAAAAATATTTACTGAATTCAACAAATTTCTCTGAAGAGTTAACAGAAACTAGGTGGTTCACTAAGTAAAATCCAGAAAATAAAAATAACTTTGAAAGGTAAAATTTGAAAGATTGTTTGCTTTATAGCTGTCAAAATGTTATCTACCTTGTTCTGTTTTATTAGACTATGCCTATCAGAACTTTGAGAGTATATTACTAAGGTGCCACTAAAAAGGCGGTAGATTTATGAGATCCTAAGTTTGTTGTTGTTGTTATTTTAATCAGTTCAGATTTTTAGTAAGTTCCTTGATATAAATCCTTTAAGTGATTGTTTGTAACTCTATCCCGATTTTGCAATTACTTAAAAAGTTACCCTGAAAATCTACAGAGGGTGCCAAAAAAATGTATACGCATTTTTAAGAAAGGAAAAAACAGTATTAAAATTATGCTGATAGTAAGTAACCACTTTGAGCACCTCTTGTAATTGCAGAAGTCAAACGTGGCTTCTATTAATCTTTTGTTATTAGTATATATTGAATATTACAATTTTAATACAGCTTTTTCCTTTCTTAAATGTGTGTATATATTTTTTGGCACCCTCTGTATTTTCCAAAGTAGGTGTTAATATACTATAGTATCTTCCTTATATTTCCGCACTATACTTCAACACATTTTAAAATATTGGCCAGTATAAAAAGAAAATAATCAGCCATATGGAAATAATAGCATTGTGTCATATTGTCAACTTTCATGTTAGATTTGGGAAATTGAAATATAATTATGAATAACAAAATAAACACATGTACTATGTAACAGAGTATGCCATGTTGTGCTTTTGACACAATGGAAACAATTACTAATAAAATAAGGTGTTTTATTTGGAAGAGAGAATTTGCTCTTGGCAGTGGCTTTCCAATTTTGCCAACTTTAAAAGTGACTATGTTGGGAAATGAAATAGTTACGGAAAAATGTATACAATCTTTATGCTTAGAACACATACATTGTCAAAGTTTCTTCATGCAGACGTTAAGCAGGACCCAGATTACTAAAACTGTATTTCTTTCTGAGGGGGAAGCAGTAGAATATTTTCTTTATTTAGCTTATCACTTCCATTAGGCAATTTAAGAAATTTACATTCTGAATTTCATTTTAACCCTAAACACTGGTTTTATCTTTATTGACTCTGCCTTTATTTTTATGAAATACATATTTTAATAAGTCTGTGGGAAATTTATGTGTAGTATTTTGTATCTGTTGATGTTTCATTTAAGTGTGCCATATTTTTTACATGTTCTGGTTTTTTTAGCTAAGTACAGTAGCGAGCTCTTTGAAAAGTATGAAAGAAAATGTTCCATTCTATTTTCATATGTCTTCCTTCCAGAGATTGTAGAACTGTGTTCTACTTTCAGTGAGGATTCACTGCTGACTGACTGAAAAAGATGTGAATATTTATATATAATCTATTGCTAGCAGAATTAGAGGGTAATATTGACATGTTTTAAAAAAAACTTAGTATAAACATAATATTGCGTTTTTATGTTTTTGCAGGAAGATTCTTTGGCAACAGATAATTTCCTTGTGGATTACTTTAATGAATTCCTAAGCCTTCCAGTGAGTATATTATTATGTTCTATTGAATATATTAGCAAAGCAAAATATTGTAATCACTGATTATCTTGTGAGACAAATTTATCAGGGATAATATTTTTTAAATAAAAAAACACTTGGATAAAGTTTGTATCTTTTTATGGAGTTAATCATTTGGATTTGAATTATATTTAGGAATTATTTTTATTGAAGAAAGCTGGAATTTTTCTAACCATCAAAAGCGTTCTGTACAAAACCTGATACAGTTATATTTGGCACTGTTTTAGGCTTTGAACAGAGGTTGCTAGGGACAGAATATCAAAAAATTTAAGAAACTGAACTTCTTGTTTCAAAGCAATTATTGTTATCCTCTTGAATAGATATTAAAGTGAAATTTGTGTTTAAGACAATTGGAGTTTTATATCATTAGTAAATAAGACATAGGTGGATGCCAAATAACAGATTTTCAGTCTTAGACAGCAGTGATTAATAGAGTAAGCTTAAAGGACTTGGGGAAAATAAAATGGGGGTGCATGAAAACTCATAGTTTATGTAAATAATCAGAAATGCCAGGTAAAAGAAAGTTAATAAAATGTTTTTTAATTGTTGTTATTAAAACATGACAACGTTTTTCATTAAAATATTTACCAGGCAAAATTTGGAAAATAAAAGTCACAAGTAATTTTAAAGGTAGTGGACCATAAAATGTGAAATTGCTTAAAGCCTAACCACTGAAAATGTCTTTTGAAGGGAAAAAACTAGATGTACTTTCTTACCTAGATTAGTTTTTCTATAGATATGTAAATCTTTGCATGCATGTTTGACTTGTGAATTTTTTTTTTCCCAGAAGAATTTGTTCTCTCACCTCCATTTGGCATAGCTAGGTCTCTGGAACCATTATGAGGGTTAGGTTGAGACACCAAACCACCCTATCCCTTTTCAGCAACAGGCCTGAGTGACTTTACAGGATACTTTGGAGGTTCTTATTTGGCTTGATTCTTCAACTTTCATTATCCAATTGTGTATTACAAAAAACTCAGCCATGTCACAAAATGGTCAGAATTTTGCTCTTCCAGATTATGTAGTCTTTCCTCTAGGCTCTGCATTCTCTACTCTGCCTCCAAAAAAATGTATATTTTCTGTGAAATTTTAAAAAGAAAAATCTCTATATTGGGTCTGATTTCAGTTTCTCAAGATTTACATTTCATTGTCTCAAAATGTATGATTATCTTTACTTTCACTTGCTTCAGAAAATAAATTCCCCTGCCTAACTTTCTTTTTCTTTTTTAAATCTACTTTAAATTATAGGAGTAATATAACAATGGTATAGAACATTTACCTAAAACGTGAGAAAAATTCAGCCATAGTCTTGCCATTCAATTAGAATAGGCATTACTGTTTTTGTATGTTTTCTTTCAGGCTTTAGGTGAATGACAGAAGGGTGATTTCTGTTGAGCTCTGTCTATGCAATCATGTTTTTCCTTCCACCCCGGCAGACACCTGCAGTTTGACCACTTTGTGTGTCCCACACACTTCACCTGTGCTGCTTCTCTCCTTTTTTCTGTCTTCTGATCCTTCTGCTCTCTCCCTCTCTCCCTTCCTCCCCCCTCCCTTCCTCCTTTCCTTTTCTCTCCCTCCCTCCCCCCTCTTCTCTCTCCCTCTCTCTCTTTCTCTCTCGCCCACTCCTTTGCATCCACATTTAGTACCACAGAGTCTACCTATAACACTGCCCATGCTTCACGTCACAAGATAGGTCAAGAGGAAATGTCACAGGTTTCCAAAAAGAACTTGGGGACAGGGAGTAGAAGGAATGATAGATTCTAAACCAAGTTCCTGGCAAGATTCTAGAACAGATTAGTAATGTTTGGTTTATGTGCACTTAGCTAAGAATTACAAGCCAGCATGGGTTTACTGAGAATAAGTATGCCAAACTAATTTCTCGTATAGTTATGGACTGGTATTTTAGAGAACCATAAATGTAATGTATTATTATTTCAACTAATAATAATAATAATAATAGTAAATTGAATCATGTTACTTCCTGTTCAAAACTCTGTTTAGTGTCTTCTCATTACACTAAGAATGAAATCCAAAATCCTATGTGATCTGGCTCTTGCCATTTGTTGATCTTTATTTCCTACTCCTCTTCCCCTTGTTAATTCTTTTCCATCCTAACTGGCCTTCTTCATGTTTCTTAAACAGAATATGCCCAGTGTATTCAAGGACCTTTCAACCTGGAATACTCTTCCCTGAGATATCTGTATCACTTTCTCCCTGATTTAAATCCCTTCTGTTCACAAAGCCTTCCCTCCCAATCCTATCTAAAGCAACACACCCAGCACATGCTCCGCTTATGCTGCTTTTCTGGGTCTCCAAATCCCTTATTATTGTCTATGAAATTAGTTTTCAAATATTTAAATGGACTCACTATCCATAGCCAGTAGGGGTTGACTCTTTTTTTTTTTTTAAGATTTTTTATTGGGGAATTGGGGGGATGGGAACAGTGCTGGGGAATTGGGAGAAAGGGAACAGACAAGTTGCTGTCGTTTTTTTTTTTTTGGTTCTTCAGTCTAGTTGTGGAAGACGTTGCCCCACTGGCCCAAGTTGGCACCATCATTGCA